GTGGTGTTGACGTGGTGGTGTGGTGGTGGTGTGATCAGTGTGTGGTGGTGGTGGTGGTGTTGACGTAGTGTGTGGTGGTGGTGTTGACGTAGTGACTGTGGTGGTGGTGTTGACGTAGTGTGGTGGTGGTGGTGTTGATCAGTAGTGTGGTGTGGTGGTGGTGATCACGTAGTGACTGTGGTGGTGGTGTTGACGTAGTGTGTGGTGGTGTGTGGTGACGTAGTGTGGCTGTGGTGGTGGTGTTGACGTAGTGTGTGTGGTGGTGGTGTTGACGTAGTGTGTGGTGGTGGTGGTGGTGGTAGATGTGTGTGTGGTGGTGGTGTTGATCAGTGGTGTGGTGGTGGTGTAGTGGCTGATCAGTGTGTGTGGTGTGGTGGTGTGTGTGGTGGTGTTGATCGTAGTGTGTGGTGGTGGTGTTGACAGTAGTGTGTGGTGGTGTGTTGATCAGTGTGTGGTGGTGGTGTGACAGTGTGTGTGGTGGTGTTGACGTAGTGTAGTGTGTGGTGGTGGTGTTGACAGTGTGTGGTGGTGGTGGTGTTGATCGTAGTGTGTGTGGTGGTGGTGTGGTGACGTAGTGGCTGGTGGTGGTGGTGTTGATCAGTGTGTGGTGGTGTGGTGGTGTTGACGTAGTGGTGTGGTGGTGTTGTTGTGGTGGTGGTGGTGTTGATCAGTGTGTGGTGGTGGTGTTGACAGTGTGTGGTGGTGGTGGTGTTGATCAGTGTGTGGTGGTGGTGGTGTTGACGTAGTGTGTGTGGTGGTGGTGTTGACGTAGTGTGTGGTGTGGTGGTGTTGATCAGTGTGTGTGGTGGTGGTGTTGACGTAGTGTGTGGTGGTGGTGGTGTTGACGTAGTGGCTGTGGTGGTGGTGGTGTTGATCAGTGTGGTGGTGGTGTTGACGTAGTGGCTGTGGTGGTGGTGTTGACGTAGTGTGTGGTGGTGGTGTTGATCAGTGTGTGGTGGTGGTGGTGTTGATCAGTGTGTGTGGTGGTGTGTTGATAGTGTGTGGTGGTGGTGTTGACAGTGTGTGGTGGTGGTGTTGACGTAGTGTGTGTGGTGGTGGTGTTGACGTAGTGTGTGTGGTGGTGGTGTTGATCAGTGTGTGGTGGTGGTGTTGATCAGTGACTGTGGTGGTGGTGTTGACGTAGTGTGTGTGGTGGTGGTGTTGACAGTAGTGTGTGGTGGTGGTGTTGACGTAGTGTGTGTGGTGGTGGTGTTGACGTAGTGTGTGTGGTGGTGGTGTTGACGTAGTGTGGTGGTGGTGGTGTTGATGAGTAGTGTGTGGTGGTGGTGTTGACAGTGTGTGGTGGGTGGTGGTGTTGATCAGTGTGTGGTGGTGGTGTTGATCAGTGTGTGTGGTGGTGGTGTTGATCAGTGTGTTGATCAGTGGTGGTGGTGGTGTTGATCAGTGTGTGGTGGTGGTGTGTTGATCAGTGTGTGTGGTGGTGGTGTTGACGTAGTGTGTGGTGGTGGTGTTGACGTCAGTGTGTGGTGGTGGTGTTGATCAGTGGTGTGGTGGTGTGTGATGGTGGTGGTGGTGGTGTTGATCAGTGTGTGGTGGTGGTGGTGTTGATCAGTGTGTGGTGGTGGTGTTGATCAGTGTGTGGTGGTGGTGTTGATCAGTGTGTGGTGGTGGTGTTGATCAGTGTGTGGTGGTGGTGGTGTTGATCAGTGTGTGGTGGTGGTGTGTTGATCAGTGTGTGGTGGTGGTGGTGTTGATCAGTGTGTGGTGGTGGTGGTGTTGATCAGTGTGTGGTGGTGGTGTGTTGATCAGTATGTGGTGGTGGTGTTGATCAGTGTGTGGTGGTGGTGTTGATCAGTGTGTGTGGTGGTGGTGTTGATGACGTAGTGTGTGGTGGTGGTGTTGATCAGTGTGTGGTGTGGTGGTGGTGTTGATCAGTGTGTGTGGTGGTGGTGGTGTGATCAGTAGTGGTGGTGTGGTGGTGGTGTTGACAGTAGTGGTGGTGGTGGTGTTTGACGTAGTGGCTGTGGTGGTGGTGTTGTGTGTGTGGGTGATCAGTGTGTGTGTGGTGGTGGTGTGATCAGTGTGTGGTGGTGGTGTTGATCAGTGTGTGGTGGGTGGTGTTGATCAGTGTGTGGTGGTGGTGGTGTGATCAGTGTGTGTGTGGTGGTGTGACGTAGTGTGGTGGTGGTGGTGTTGATCAGTGTGTGGTGGTGGTGTGTTGATCAGTGTGTGTGGTGGTGTGACGTCAGTGTGTGTGGTGGTGGTGTTGACATAGTGGCAGTGTGGTGGGTGGTGTTGACGTAGTGGTGGTGGTGGTGTTGATCAGTGGTGTGTGGTGGTGGTGTTGATCAGTGTGTGTGGTGGTGGTGTTGACGTAGTGTGTGGTGGTGGTGTTGACGTAGTGGTGGTGGTGGTGGTGTTGACGTAGTGTGTGGTGGTGGTGTTGATCAGTGTGTGGTGGTGGTGTTTGATCAGTGTGTGGTGGTGGTGGTGTTGATCAGTGTGTGGTGGTGGTGGTGACTGATCAGTGTGTGGTGGTGTGGTGTTGATCAGTGTGTGTGGTGGTGGTGTTGATCAGTGTGTGGTGGTGGTGTTGATCAGTGTGTGGTGGTGGTGGTGATCAGTGACGTAGTGTGTGTGGTGGTGGTGGTGTTGATCAGTGTGTGGTGGTGGTGGTGTTGATCAGTGTGTGGTGGTGGTGTTGATCAGTGTGTGGTGGTGGTGTTGATCAGTGTGTGGTGGTGGTGGTGTTGATCAGTGTGTGGTGGTGGTGGTGTTGATCAGTGTGTGGTGGTGGTGTTGATCAGTGTGTGGTGGTGGTGGTGTTGATCAGTGTGTGGTGGTGGTGGTGGTGGTGGTGTGGTGGTGGTGTGGTGTGGTGTAGTGTGGTGGTGGTGTTGATCAGTGTGTGGTGGTGGTGTTGATCGTAGTGGCTGTGTGGTGGTGTTGACGTAGTGGCTGTGTGGTGGTGGTGTTGATCTGTGTGTGGTGGTGGTGTTGATCAGTTGTGTGTGGTGGTGGTGTTGATCAGTGTGTGGTGGTGGTGTTGATCAGTGTGTGGTGGTGGTGGTGTTGTAGTGTGTGTGGTGGTGGTGTTGATCAGTGTGTGGTGGTGGTGTTGATCAGTGTGTGGTGGTGGTGGTGTTGATCAGTGTGTGGTGGTGGTGGTGTTGATCAGTGTGTGGTGGTGGTGGTGTTGATCAGTGTGTGGTGTGGTGTGTGTGGTGTGTGATCAGTGTGTGTGTGGTGGTGGTGTTGGTCAGTGTGTGGTGGTGGTGTTGATCAGTGTGTGGTGGTGGTGTTGATCAGTGTGGTGGTGGTGGTGTTGATCAGTGTGTGGTGGTGGTGGTGTGATCAGTGTGTGTGGTGGTGTGTGGTGGTGGTGTTGATCAGTGTGTGGTGGTGGTGGTGTGTGATCAGTGTGTGGTGGTGGTGTTGTCAGTGTGTGTGTGGTGGTGGTGTGATCAGTGTGTGGTGGTGGTGTTGATCAGTGTGTGGTGGTGGTGGTGTTGATGTGGTGGTGTGGTGGGTGGGTGGTGTTGATCAGTGTGTGGTGGTGGTGGTGGTGTTGATCAGTGTGTGGTGGTGGTGTTGATCAGTGTGTGGTGGTGGTGTTGATCAGTGTGTGGTGGTGGTGGTGTTGATCAGTGTGGTGGTGGTGCTGATCAGTGTGTGGTGGTGGTGTTGATCAGTGTGTGGTGGTGGTGGTGTTGATCAGTGTGTGGTGGTGGTGTTGATCAGTGACCTTGGGCGACCTTCCAGGGCAGAGCAGATGTCATACACACAGTACCCGCTTGAGCACCTGTCCACCGCCCACACCAGGCAATTCTCCAGTTCATTATTTAGTCAGGTGATATATGCCTGGCCCACAGTGTGCGGGCGTGGGTGTGGGTGTTTGGAGCCACGTTCCGCTGCACAATAGAGGAGCGCCAGGCGCAACCAGACCCCTTGCTGGCCCCTTCGCCAGGCAAACATTCTGGTTCTGAGCTGCTCATCAAACACCCTATAATGTACGTATTGATTATCCTTCCATCTCGATGGTTTCACCCCTTCTCGCTTAATTACCTACGCCCCTCTACGGCCTGTAGGTCACTATCCAGGCCCCCTACAGCCTGGTCAGGTCACTACCCACGCCCCCCCCGCGACCTGTAGGTCCTGTAGGTCACTACCCACGTCCCCCTACGGCCTGTAGGTCAATACCCAAGCCCCCACGGCCTGTAGGTCACTACCTACGCCTTCCACGGCCTGTAGGTCACTACCCACACCCCCACGGCCCGTTGGTCAATACTTTCGCCCCCCCCCCACGGCCTGTAGGTTCCTACCCTTGCTCCCATAGCCTGTAGATTACTATCCAGGCCCCCTACAGCCTGGTCAGGTCACTACCCACGCCCCCCCCCCCCCCCGCGACCTGTAGGTCCTGTAGGTCACTACCCACGCCCCCCCCCAGGACCTGTGGTCACTACCCAAGCTCCCACGGCCTGTAGGTCACTACCTACGCCTTCCACGGCCTGTAGGTCACTACCCACGCCCCCCACAGTCTGTAGGTCACTACCCACGCCTCCCACGGTCTGTAGGTCACTACCCACGCCCCCCACGGTCTGTAGGTCACTACCCACGCCCCCCATGGTCTGTAGGTCATACCCACGCCCCCCATGGTCTGTAGGTCACTACCCACGCCCCCCATGGTCTGTAGGTCACTACCCACGCCCCCCATGGTCTGTAGGTCATACCCATGCCCCCCATGGTCTGTAGGTCACTACCCACGCCCCCCATGGTCTGTAGGTCACTACCCACGCCCCCCACGGTCTGTAGGTCACTACCTACGCCCCCCATGGTCTGTAGGTCACCCACCCACGCCCCCCATGGTCTGTAGGTCACTACCCACGCCCCCCATGGTCTGTAGGTCACTACCCACGCCCCCCATGGTCTGTAGGTCACTACCCACGCCCCCCACGGTCTGTAGGTCACTACCCACGCCCCCCATGGTCTGTAGGTCTGTAGGTCACTACCCACGCCCCCCACGGTCTGTAGGTCACTACCTACGCCCCCCATGGTCTGTAGGTCATACCCACGCCCCCCATGGTCTGTAGGTCACTACCCACGCCCCCCATGGTCTGTAGGTCACTACCCACGCCCCCCATGGTCTGTAGGTCACTACCCACGCCCCCCATGGTCTGTAGGTCACTACCCACGCCCCCCATGGTCTGTAGGTCACTACCCACGCCCCCCATGGTCTGTAGGTCACTACCCACGCCCCCCATGGTCTGTAGGTCACTACCCACGCCCCCCATGGTCTGTAGGTCACTACCCACGCCCCCCATGGTCTGTAGGTCACTACCCACGCCCCCCATGGTCTGTAGGTCACTACCCACGCCCCCCATGGTCTGTAGGTCACTACCCACGCCCCCCATGGTCTGTAGGTCACTACCCACGCCCCCCATGGTCTGTAGGTCACTACCCACGCCCCCACGCCCCCCATGGTCTGTAGGTCACTACCCACGCCCCCCATGGTCTGTAGGTCACTACCCACGCCCCCCATGGTCTGTAGGTCACTACCCACGCCCCCCACGGTCTGTAGGTCACTACCCACGCCCCCCATGGTCTGTAGGTCACTACCCACGCCCCCCATGGTCTGTAGGTCACTACCCACGCCCCCCATGGTCTGTAGGTCACTACCCACGTCCCCCACGGTCTGTAGGTCACTACCCACGCCCCCCATGGTCTGTAGGTCACTACCCACGCCCCCCATGGTCTGTAGGTCACTACCCACGCCCCCCATGGTCTGTAGGTCACTACCTACGCCCCCCATGGTCTGTAGGTCACTACCCACGCCCCCATGGTCTGTAGGTCACTACCCACGCCCCCCCCATGGTCTGTAGGTCACTACCCACGCCCCCCATGGTCTGTAGGTCACTACCCACGCCCCCCCACGGTCTGTAGGTCACTACCCACGCCCCCCATGGTCTGTAGGTTACTACCCACGCCTCCCATGGTCTGTAGGTCACTACCCACGCCCCCCATGGTCTGTAGGTCACTACCCACGCCCCCCATGGTCTGTAGGTCACTACCCACGCCCCCCACGGTCTGTAGGTCACTACCCACGCCCCCCATGGTCTGTAGGTCACTACCCACGCCCCCCATGGTCTGTAGGTCACTACCCACGCCCCCCATGGTCTGTAGGTCACTACCCACGCCCCCCATGGTCTGTAGGTCACTACCCACGCCCCCCATGGTCTGTAGGTCACTACCCACGCCCCCCATGGTGTGTAGGTCACTACCCACGCCCCCCCCCCACTACCTGTCAAGCACAAGACGAAGATGGAAAAAGTTCAGAGGTATGCCACTAGGCTAGTCCCAGAACTAAGAGGCATGAGTTACAAGGAAAGGCTGCATGAAATGCACCTTGCGATACTGGAAGACAGAAGAGGAAGGGAAGACATGATCACTACTATATAGATGTCACGTCTGTGACAGGATTTTTTTTTTTTAATGTTTTCATGAGTGGGAAATCCCCAAAACTTCTTTACCGATTGCTTTGAAATTTTGACACAGCATTGAAGTCGAATAGGCGCGTGATTTTATATACCTACTATATACATGCATCACATATGACAGGAAAAACATGCTTCTCTTGAAAAACAGCGCCATCTGTTGCACGTAAGAGCAACACACGCTGAAATTTCGAAAGTTCTTCACCGATCGCTTTGAGGGTTTGGCAGAACGTTTCATTCAAATACGAGCATGTTTTTAGATATTCCTACTATATAGGTGCCACACTTGTGACAGGTAAATACATGTTTTTTTTTTTTTAAATACCCATCTGTTGCACGTAAGAGCAACACACGCTGTACTAAATATGTTACAATACATATGTACTAAATATGTTACTTTGGTGGTGACCTTCTTTCAGAAGGTCACCACCAAAGACACCTTACAAGCAGAACTTATTGTAGAAGGAGGAAAGATTCGAGGCAACTACAGAAGCACCATACTGTCCCCCGAGCTCAAAGCGGCAGCTAAGAGCCTTCGTGAGAACAAGGAGATAGTCGTCAGGAGAGGTGACAAGTCGCCAATATATGTCATTCTTAAAAAAGACGAATATCTGGCGAAAATGAACCTCATACTCTCTGACCAAACTAAATTCCAAAGGGTAACGAAGGACACTACAGCCGAATTGAAAACAAAGGTAAACAAACTGATCGAAACTGTGAACGCCAAGAAATCCGGACTCCACCTGCCAAAGGTTATTGGGGAATATAAACCTGGATATGCGTATGGAAATCTCAAGACCCACAAGCCTGGAAACTGTTGGGGTTTCACCTCTCTATTATTCTCTACCCTTACTCTGGGGTGAGCAATAGTTATGCTCAAGGTAACTCACCGTAGCCCTGCGGGTCTTCCCTCGATCCTCACGGCGCCACTGCACGCCAGGAGAGTCTCCCAGTCAATCTTAACGGCCTCTTATTAAGAAAGAGTGAGAACACGACTCGTTCACATCGACTGTCGTGTGCCCTCCCCAACAATAGGGCTCTACGGTTATCCACAAGATCGCCAACTGGTGTTTAAGGTGGCCAGTAACACCATCAGTGGACTGGTGTATTCAGTGGTAGCCTTGGCAAGGTCACACTCAAAGATCAGGAATCAGGCAGGTACTTATTGTTATCACTCTATATTTACCAGTATAATATAGCCACAAGATCAATGGAGGGGATGATAAAAACACAAAGAGAGTTTTGTATTTTACTTAAAATGTATGAAAGATGTCACAAGGCCACACAATAATCGATAAATCAACTGATCCTGACTCGGCCGGTAATTCCCACGGATATTATGCGACCGCTAGAGGGCAACACTCTCCCCTCCTCATCAAGTGTCAAGAACAGCTGATCGCAATGGCCTCTCCGCGCGAAATTTGCTTGTTTTCTAGATTCACGCGCGCTGTTTCATTAAATTCTCCAATATTACTAGAAACTCGCACACTCGATATTGGCACAAATAAACCGTATTACTCAGTTACACTGTACTCAGGCTCAAACAGTCTTTTCTACAATCAATGCTATAATGATTCACTGTAATGGCTTAACATTGTTCTTCACTCAACAATATATTATGAACTATTAACACTGGAGTTTTCAGTACTTTCTCTCGTGGGCGATAACGCAATAATTCACTGTACTCACAAATTATTATTCACTGAATGAACATAGACATATATATGGTATATAAATCAATCATCAATACATGGAAAATAAATAGTTTCTGGGCACATAGCCTAACCTCCAAATACTGGCATAATATTATATATAATTCACCACTATATGTTCATATCAAAAATCTATAGAAAGATATACACAACACAGTAAATTTATCACTGGTTCCTGGTGCCTGTACACACCAATAATCAACATGAATATTACAAGTACTCTTGATAGTACTGTCTAGCACACTGGTGCTTTATCGTGACATGAGTGAGACTTGCTCACGACATATAAAATCCTCAGGCTAGAAAATATAGCCGAATAACATAGCTAACTAAAGGGGAATGGGGAGGGAACTAGAACCACCTACTTCACCCTATCCTCCGATGAGAGTCGAGATGTAGCTCCTGGTCCTCGTGTCGGGAACGCCCCCACACTACACGTCGTCGTGTCCTACCAGAGCCTCTCGTCGTCCCACCGTTTAGCGCGTCGTCTCCGTGCCTCCTCACTGCAGGTCCGTCCTCCTTCTTAACTTCTTGAAGGTTGGAGTCGGTCTCCTGGCCGTCGTCTTCTCCCAGCAACGGCTGTCGCCTACGTCTCGGCTACAGTCGTCCGGTTTCCCCAAATAGTCCTCTCTTCCTCAGCTACCCAGTGGCTCTGTCAGCCACTACGCTGTCACGCACTGGTGAATCGCCACAGACGCCACATACGTCACTGCACGGCTTCACTGCTACTGGCACAGTACCTGACTGGAGCACTTGTTGCTCAAATAACCGTCAATTCCCTCTTCTGGTCCAACACATGAACTAGGGAAGACTTCTCAGAGTACTGGCGGACTTCCGGTGACGCGTAAATCCACGGTAGTGGGAATAACTGTCCAACTGACAGGACCATCCGTCGCACGTCCGACCTCTATGACGTGTCGTGTCTGACTGCTGGCGCCAGCTCGGCGCGCGGACTGGACCCCCTTCCTTCGTGACGTCACTTTCGCCACGGGAGGTTTTCATTGGCTCCCGATGCCACACTGCTGTCGGTGACCAATCCGGTGCCACTGACGTCACACGGTTTTGGCGGGAGATCAGGGAAGCAAGCGCCATCTTGGCTCCCTAAAGGGCCTATACCACAGGCCAAAATATTACTATTTCACAAATTTCTCGGCTCTCCGAGAACACTTCACTCTCTCCCATATATCGAATTGTAGCCTGCAACGTAGAGAATGCTCGGGAAAAGTAGACATGACTCTTACTGCAGGCGTGGGAGAATTATAAGGGGGGGAACTCCGTCACAAAACCCACTTTGGCCAATCATCAGACAGATACCCACACCCACGTACAGACTGGCTAAGCAACTCAATGGCTTGCTGATTCCTTATATATCTTGTGCTTTCAGCCTGAAGTCTCCAAAGGAATTTGTTGACTTACTGCGGGGGGGAACACGGGCCACAGGGATAAGAGCCTCGTTGGATGTAAAGTCACTGTTTACCAACGTACCTGTGGATGAAACAATCGGGATGATAGTGGACAGAGTGTATCGTGATCTAGCCTGTACTCCTCTTGACATACCAGAAAACATACTAAGGAAACTACTACAAGCTTGTACTAAAGAGGCACCCTTCTAGAACACAGATGGGCACATGTATAAGCAAGTAGATGGGGTCGCCATGGGTTCTCCCCTAGGTGTCCTGTTTGCGAACTTCTACATAGATACCACCGAGCAGAAGGTCGTGGTTGACATGGACTTGAAACCCGCCATATACTTCAGGTATGTTGACGACATTTTTACACAGGTACCTTATGCCAGACATCTGCAGCAGCTGAAGGAGGCATTTGAGCGAAATTCTCTGTTGAGTTTCACTTACGAGATGGAGAATGATGGGAAGCTGCCCTTTCTAGATGTAACAGTCACGGAAAGGAGCGGAGGCTTCCACACTGCAGTCTACACTAAGGAAACAAACATAGGAATGTGCCTCAATGCCAATAGTGACTGCCCAGACAGGTACAAGAGGAGTGTTGTCAACGCTAACGTCGACCAGGTTCTCAACCACAGCTCAGGATGGAAGCAAGTCGACGAAGAACTCTGTAGGGTAAGGCAGGTCCTAGTCAACAACGGCTTCTCTAATGGTTTTGTTGAAGACATCATAAAAGGTTTTGTTGAAGACATCATAAAAAGAAAGGTGAAATGCCATGCAACCTCTGAAGACTCAACTAACACAACACATGTATCCCCTATTAGACTATTTTACA